AAGCCTTCATCTAAAGTGAGAATAGCAGCACAATTGGAAGAGCGTAGTCGATGTCACTGAACTGTGCATGTAGAAATCTTTGAAATGGTGTTACTTTGGCTATGTATATTTTCACCAAAAAAAAACGTCGAGAAGGGAGAGGGTTGACATGTAGTGGGGTTGTTAACCAATGTCATAAAACAACATGTGTACTACTGTTTCATGAGAAACTATTTGTTCGGTAAGCCTTCACCTGAAGTACAATAAAAAAAAGAAAGGAAAAAAAAAAAGTCAAGGTATTGGAAAATACCTAAATAACAAAGATGGGGTAGAAATAAAACTTAAACGTCACCTGTCACAAAGGTCTGTTACAGACAACATTGAACTGTGGAAGGCTATTCAATCAATAATCACGGGTTATATTTTCCTTCAGATGTGCTTAGAACCCAAACCCCATCACATTCAACTGGCTTAGAAGTGACCATGAGGAGTAAAGAATGCGACCTGGTCTGCTATAGTCTCTGAGAAGAGGTCTGGGACTTCAGCATCTGGCCACCTCCCAAATCTCCCCGCTGTGGGATCACCAAATGGTGGTGGGCTTAAATGTCCACCATTGATCCCATTTGTTCCTGGAGGAAAGCATGCTTCCCAAAACAGCCGACTTCAAACCTGATTCCCAACCCGTTGCCGTCGAGTCGATTCCAACTCATAGTGACCTTATAGGACAGAGTAGAACTGCCTCACACGGTTTCCAAGGCTGTAATCTTTACGGAAGAAGACTGCCACATCTTTTTCCCGTGGAGCATCTGGTGGGTTCAAACCAGTGCTCTTTCTATTAGCAGCTGAATGCTTAACCACTGTGCCACCAGAGATCTCTCCTGATTCCCAGGTCCTTCCTAAACCAGTGTCTCTGGGACCTCCAGGCGACTCTCATGCCCCAAACAATGGTCTTGGGGAACCACTGTCCCTGGATATTGTGACCCTAATACTCCACAGCATCTTTTCTCCTTTTCAAAATGGGTGATTGAGAGCTTGACCTAACTAACACCATGATGAACCTGTAAATTTTTTTCTGCCTGCCTTCTCCTTTCCGCATACCTGTTAATGAATTTGTTTTGCTCTGTCCACCCAACTGTGACTTACAACCCTCACAAGGAGATTAGAGCCCAGATGTCCAGTCTGTAAATCTTTAGCATGATAAGGAGATGTCTGGCATGTATCTCTTTAGCCTGATAAGGAGTCTCTTGTAATTATCTTGTAATGTGTAACTCATTCGGCCACCTGTGGGCAATGTGCCAAAAGACACTTCTAACTTTTGTAAAAATCATATATAAGCTCTAGTGTAAAACTGCCTTTTGGGACTCCATAAAGACAGCCTGCATTGCTGCCGGACTCCCCGTTGGTGTCACCTCCTAAATAAACTTTGTCTTTCTGACTTGGAGTACATTTCACTGGCTTGACTGCTCTAGGGCATGGATACTAATTGGACTACAATATCAAATCTGTTCAATTACTTGAAGTCTCCGAAAAAATAAGTCCTCCGAAATTAAACGTGTTCATTTGGTTTCTGAATGAAACCAAAAAGTATGACAATTTTAACATATGAATTTACTTTTTAATTTTTAAAAACTAATAAAATAGGAGAAAAGAATTCAAAATACATTTAGATATAAAAAAAATGTTAAAAGTAATAACCTGTTTAAAAAAAACCCATTGCTGTCGAGTCGATTCCAACTCATAGGGACCCTACAGGACAGAGTAGAGCTGTCCCATACGGTTTCCAAGCAGCAGCTCGTGGATTTGAACTGCTGATCTTTCAGCGAGCAGCTGAGCTCTTGTGAAATTGCACATTATCACTTTTCTGCCAATTAACTGCTTTTTGCAAGCTGTATTTCATCTCTGCAGAAAAATACTTTAAACAGCTTCAGAGAACAAGCCTCAAATGTCAAGTTGGCTTTATTACTTTATTACTAATAGAAATTCTGATCTCGGAATCCCTATAATTAAACTCTTAAAGCTTTGCCCCTACTATTAAACCCAAGGAACTAGAATTACCACTACTGTTTCTAAAAGAAAGCCATTTCTTCAGAAGGTGGGTCAAAAAGTGGGGTATGGAGGGGGAAAATTAATTTAATTTTGTATCTTACTGGGAATCCTGATATTAACATTTCAATTCCCAAAAAATGAATCCCATGTTTTATCCATAGAACTTCAAGAAGGACCAATTCTAGTTGAAAATACTCATTGCTTTAACAGTCTTTTATGGCAAATGAAAGGTAGAGGGTTAAATTCACTTGAGCAAGCAGGTGACTTCATTTTTGATTCACATTAGCAGTTCCAGCTTAAAAGCGAGGAGACAAAAACAGCCCACCAGCAGTGCCAGGAAGTTAATTTAAAACATCAGCGACTTTCACAGTATTTTCTGAGAGGGGTCATTAGTCCAAATCAAAATGTGAGGAAAGCAGGCAGCATGATAGGAAATGCCTGAAGAGCCGTATAGGACCAAGGCAAAGGGAAGATGTTTATCTTTCAAAATTAAATGTAGCTTGATAAGTGTTCATGCCAAGATGGGAAGCCTGAACCACATTCATTTTGCTGAAGTCATTTAAAACTCAGTGAAACATGTCTGGCCAGAAACACTGTTTCACCAAATCACTCTACACCACTGGAAAGAGCGTAAAGCCATCCGCTGACCTCTCAGCCAGAGGCTATGACTACTGAAAAAGAAAAAAGTGAAAGCCTCCAAAATGACAGGGATACAAAAGCCAGACCACAAGAGCCTGTTGTGACAGGAGAGGACGGGTTCTGAACGCGCCAGAGTGTCAGCCAGGACTCACAGAAACACCTTCCAATTGTCATCAGAGAAAGAAGGGACCCACCTTCCAACAAACGCTTTAAGAAATCTGATTGCCAGGGCCAAAGAAGAAAAACACAGAAAATACTGAAGAAAACAAATTATGCTTTCAAAATATACTTAACAGTAGAACAGGAAAGTTAAAATTCATAGAAAAAGCAAAATGCTTCCGGAACACTTATTTCAAAAAATCTCTGCTGCCAATTTGAGAAGGATGGTGAAAATTCCTTCAAAACGTTTAGGAGTTCCGAACACATCCAACCTGACCACTTCCTCTGCTGACACTATGAACATTAGTTACTGTGGATCCTTTCTTTAAAAAAAAAAAGAACTCTATTTTACTGCATTTTCACCCTCAAGACATGTCTCATAAAGTCTAAGGATTAAGCCTGGAAAGAGGAAGATCCGCAGCCACACAATTACAAAATGAACATCATTTGAAATATCACATGGCTTTAAGACTCACAGATTCATAAAAATGTTAGTGATAAGTCTCATCATTTTCGAAGTAGTTCTTATGTGTGGGCTTGATCTTTAAAGGTTATTTGGTTTTCATTATTAGAGACATTTTTCATCTTATTTTGCCCCTCAGTGTGTTGAGCTGTTAGGCCCTGCCACCTAGTGGCGACATGTCCTGATAAGCAATGTTAGGATACAGCACTGATTGACCTTTCTACAGAATGCCAAAGAATGGCCAAATCAGAGGGGCAGAGGTCACTAAGGTTAGGCTCACAGATGGCGCAAGCCTTCACTATCTAACAGATAACCAATTCACTGTAAGCTAATAGGTGGAACTGATTTATTTCAATAATTACTAGACCTATAAGCATGTTTGCCATCTTCAAGAGTATAGTGCTAACACAACACTGGGTAGTTTTCTTCTTTAACAAACCTCAGAATATTCAAAATATCCATTACCCTAATTTTGAAACTTTTGGTTGAATAAAGATACTGAAACTCAAAGGATCATGATATGGTCATTATAAATGATAATTACAGAGATCATACAGTAACCCAGAAACACATTCTCAATATAACCAAGTAAAAGGCAGGACACAAACATGTGTCCACTGTGACTTAAACTGAGGAACAGTACGCCTGCGTGGACCAAGAACAGAAAGAAACATAGCAGGATTAAAAGAGCTGTGAAAAGGTGGCGGACCCAGGGTGATTTAACACTGAGCAGAATGCCTAATACAGAGCAAACAATAAATATTTGTTGAATGAATAAATGCATGAGCTTTTAAGGCTCTTTCATACTGTTATGCCATTTTCTTTCCAATGAAATATGTTGGTGGTCTGAAGGCTTCAGTCTTCAATCAAAACTAGTCATGTTTTAGGATACAGTCATCGGGATGCTGCGTGGTAGAAAAAGGCACCATGGCCCAATAAGAAAACATCTAGAAACATCTTAGAAATTCACAGTGCACACTAACATATGACAGGACCCAAAGACTCCTACAATGAAGAAATTCACTTACCTTAATGTGAGCAACCCCCAAACTTACTTGACCATGAACTCCTTTTTTCTGCAGAACACCTATTAACTTCAGGACACGGGGCAGATTTAGAAAAGGCAGAAGGGGTGTGTGCTTCAGGTCCCAGTCTATGAGGGCACCACAAAAGATGGGTGCCTGCAAATTCTGGAGCAATGCCAGCAACAAAGAGCTAGAGGGGGGCCACTTACCCGTTTTGGGGAAACGCTGCTTTCAGAGACCTAACACTGATATTGATCAAATAACTCCTAATACATTTTTAAACGTTATTCTGTTTATGGGTCTATGTGAGTGAAGCGGCAGTCATGCTCTGAAATAACAACTATAGATAGCTCCAGCCCTCTTTCCAAATGGTTCTTTGGACATGCTTACGAGTAGCCCGTGTTTTTCCAGAACGTACCATCTTTTATCATAGTACAGTTTGCCGTCTTCTATCCGAGCTTCAAATCTCTGGGCTGGAGACTCTGCAGGTGTGGCAGGCAAGTGTTCAGGAGAGGATGGGGATGCTGGAGGAACCAGAGAGGTATTTAATGTGCGAGTCCACCAGCTAACATGTTTTAACTGAAACACTATCAGGAGGTGGGAATAATCATGATCGTCAGCACAAGCCCTTAACAGTTGTAACAAAAGAGAATTAAACATATTCTTATATATCTAACTTGATTCTCAAAACAACCCTTTGAGGTAGGCATGGCACCGATTAATCTCCCTGAGCAGAGGAGAAAGCTGAGGCCCAGGAAGGTTAAAGGATTTGTGCAACGTCACTTATGGTAGGACTAAAACCCTGGTGACCACCAGAAGCCCAAAGGGCAACTGTTACATAAATCTTTTCAAACTTACAAAAATGAAATCATTTCTAGAAATATTTATTACTAAGTAGGGCAGGCTATTTGGCATGTACAGAGTCAAGCTAATACTGGTGCTAATAACTATGGTGCGTTCAAACGGCCTAAATTCACAAACTTACTCACGTAACCTCCCCCCACCATGTCTTCAATAGCTCAGGACAATCATGTGGGCCACACCTTGGTGGCCCTCAGGAGGAAATTATCTAGAGAAAAAAGAATCTTGTTTCTCTTCCACAAGACTCACTGAGTTAATGGGATGTGTGAGTAATCACAGTGCTAAAAAAAAAAGAAAAAAAAAATACCAGTTCAGAACTGTACTTCGCAACCTTGCGTTGACCCTCAAGTGCTGCTCTGGAAGGAACATCGCAAGCACTGAGCCAGTGTCTCCCGTAAGCCCTGACTCGAGGCTGCCTGCGTCGTCCCTTACCAGACCCAGGCCACGAAAAGCCGCTGTGACAGTAATGCCCAGCACTTAACTCCAGAAGGCGAAGAACACTAAAAAATCCTTCTAGTTTCAGTCTTAAAAATGGACGAGTACCCGAATCTTACGTCTGATGCCTACACAGGAAACCCTCACCAGCCAATCAATCAAATGTCTCTTACAATAAATCCTAAGGAAATGACAAAAATAACTTGAGCACAGTGGGGTTAAAAAAAAAAAAAAAGGCCGGGGGAGGGGTGCACTTTAAGGTCCCTTTCATTTGCCATGAAGACCACTCTTGGGCAAATGATGAGCATGTCACTTGTGAAAATTGCAACGATTTCCTGACAGGTATTTGCATGCTTTTCCAACAACGTGATAAAAAGACCGCACAAGTGCCAGTAACATCATGCACTTACCTGGTCTCTTGGGTGACTTAAGCTGTAGGAAAAACAACAACAAAAAATCTTAGAGAAGATCATTTCAGATGCAACTTAAGGTGTCAGAGGTATCATAATGATTTAACAAGTGACATGAAAACAAAGTGAAGCAGAAAACCACGTCGCACCTAAGCTTTCCAGTAAATTAAAAAATTCAACTCTACCTTATTTAACGTCCTCAGATCCTCCATGATCTGTTCATCTGTTAACAAATAGTTTAGCTGGGGTGCTGAGAGTTAAAGGAACATATCCAAAAAGTGTGGTTTCCAAACAAACAGAAATTGACAAAAACAGAACCAGTACTTCAGAATTGAGGAAGTGTGACTATGTTAAATGATGTTTTTACAAAAACAGTTTGCTTCTTGTAAGTTTATGGTTCTCCCACTGTAAGTGCGGTACCCAAGAATTCATATCCCCCATCTTACACGATGAGAAAGTGGAATGAGATTCATTAGGTAATCACAATAATAGATAGAGCACAGGGAACTGTAAAATAATTTCATCCTAAATTTCTAAGGCGCTTTGTTCCAAAGATCTGAAGATGGTCACACGCATGTGTGGTTAATCATCCCTAACGACCCAGAATCCTCATGGGTGAAGGTGCAGGGACCTGAAGTTAGGCCCTTGCCTGTTGCTATTAGGTGCCGTCCAGTGGCAGACAAATAACCAAACCATCTTGGGCAAACAGCTGTTATGTCCTCTGGAGGGACAGAAATACCTCCCCCATATCCTGTCCCTGTTGCCATTTTCATGATTAAAGGGCTTCTTTATGTCTGACTCAAATCTCATTTGCTTTAAAATAGGCACAGTTTGCAATCCACTAGTTCAGGGATATAGATGACTGAGGTATATAATGGGAGATAACTGTCCTCTTTTCACAGGTGGAAAAATTAAGGCACGTGACGTTTTTCACTGCCCGAATCCCGAAGTGAGTGTTAAAACCAGGCTGAACTGCCAACCCCAAGTACCTTTCCAAGTAACTAGCCTCCATAAATCCCTCCCACTAAAAGCAGTAGCAATTGAGGACTCCAATAATAAAATGGCCTACACCACCTCATGGGATAAATATTTCACATATGCTTTCTAATTAAGTACCAGTTTTCTGCAGGACAAAGCCATGTATATTCTATCAAGTGGATAAGCAAAGATTCAGTAAGATACAACAGTCTTAAGGGAAAGTGATTTGAGCTTGATGCAAATGGATATCAGGAGCAGGTTTCCTTCTCTTGTCTGGGATGGGGACAGGATCATTTGGTCGCCTCCGCAACTTTCTGGTCATGATGGGTTTTACTTCCATTGAATCTGTGGCAAGAATCGAATGGGTAGATCAATCCAACTCCCACTTGAATATTAGTAAGAATTTCTATCATCCTAAGAATATCTGTTCCATAGCCACCCAATCAGACTGTTCTACTGGGAATGTTTGGTCCACAGACGGCCCAGGCCTGATGCCCACGTCAGTCTTAGGAGGGAGTCTGTCTTAGAAGATTCGGCTGAACGACTTGGGTGCTTGCCCCTGAGAATGCAGCCTCCAGTCTAACCTAATAGCTGCTGCCAGTATCTCCCCAGCACCCTCAGAAACTAGGGGATTTTCCTCCTCTTCCCTCAAATTGCCATCAATTCTAACTCATAGCAACCCTACAGTACACAGTAGAACTGCCCCATAGGGTTTCCAAGCAGCAGCTGGTGGATTCGAACTGCCAACCTTTCGGTTAGCAGCCGTTGTTCTTGGAGCCCTGGTGGTGCAGTGGTTAAACGTTTGACTGCTAACCAAAAGGTCAGCAGTTTGAATCCACCAGCTGCTCCTTGGAAACCCTATGGGGCAGTTCTACTTTGTCCTATAGAGTTGCTGTGAGTCAGAACGAACTCAACAGGAAAGGGTTTGGTTTTTGGTTTTTAGGACCATCTCAACTGACCAATTCCTGCTGTTCCCACAGAGGGCGGGTCAACTTAAGCCCGTGGTATAAAAGGCTTTCAGTGGTTGCTTTGGTGACAGTACTTTTACATTAGGTCTTCGTTTACAAACTTGAACTCTTTCTTTTTTTCTTCTACTTTATAGTCTTTTTGTAGCCACTTGAATATCAAGAATGATATAATGAAGGCCCATAATAAAGGCCTCTTTCATCCTTGTTGACTTCTCCACAGTCTGACACTGACACTGATACCCACGCCTGAAAATCGCTCCTCCCCTGGCTGCTGCCACACAAAGCTCTCCTGACCTGCCTCTTTGGGGTTCTTTTTGCCAGCCTGCACCTCAAATACTGGTGATCTCTGGGGTCCAGTTGACCTCAGCCTGTATCCCAGTCAATCCCAGCTCACCAAGGCCAGCTCCACCCACCCTTCTGAATGGCAATTTGTACCTGACAACAACACCCCTCTGCATGTTCCAAACGGACTCATTCCTCCTGATTTGCCTCCCAAGTCTGCCTCTTCTCCTATGTCTCAGGGGCATCACATCAACCCATTCTTCCAAGCTAGAACAAAAGCTATCATCTGTGACCCGCGTTCCTTCACCCTGGCATCCAATTCACCAGATAATGTCAGTTCTGCCTTCTAACTACTCTCAATCCCATCCCCTCATCATTTTATTAAACTACCCCAGTGGACTTCAATAGTCCCTCTGACCCGAGTCTCCTACCATATCCAGTCCATCCTCCCCACCCTCAGAGTGAGCTTCCTAAAATACAAATCGGATTTTGCATAGCACACCTCTTATTAAGCATTTCTGTGACTCACCAGTCTCCTTAGTATAAAGGCCAAAGTCCTCAGAATGATGCACGGGGCCCCACACAATCTAGGCCAAGCCTCATTTCTGGCCTTCCTCACTTCTCCTTCACTTACACTTACCCTGCATGTGAGCTTTCAGCTTTCTGTAGCTCAAAAATGCCATACTTTTTCTTATGCCTCCAAGTTTTTGTACAAGCTGTCCCTTCTACTGAGCCTCCTTTTTCTGCCTGGCAAACTCCTACACAGCATCCTTGGAGAGAAGGCTCAACTCTCTCCCTTCTGTGACAGTTTGCACGGGAGAGTCACTCCACTTTTCAAGGAGCCAGAGCATTTGTACAAACCCCTGCCAAACCAATCACCACCCTGTGCTGGATGCTTCCCCCACTAGAGTCCTGAATTCCACCACAGCACAGACTCTGTCCCCATCCCAGCACTTAGCAATGGTTCTCACACACCGTAGGAGCTTCACAAAGTCTTCTGCAGAATGACTAGACAAGGTCAAGTCTAACTATGAGACAGTTATTTTGTGATTATTCAAACCACAAGCAGAACAGACAGGATAGCTTTAGGGAATTCAAATGTAGTCCATCTAGTATAGCAATGCACAGGAGCTTCGAGTATATGATACACATGTGTACAAACTCAATACCAATGAGCAACAACAAAGGGGTGCCTAGTGCGAAGGGGAGAGGTAAGAATCAAGGTCAGGTCTTCAGAGGCCAAATCACATAGGAATGAATGAACGCACCAATCTCTGTTAGGCCAAAGTTGCCCACAATGCAGGGACAGCATTTAAAGAGTGAATCAATCGAGCCTTCCTTTTCTGTACCCTCAATCACATGAAACAGCCTAGGTTCCTCATCAGCAGCAATAAAATATGTCCTGGAGACAACCCCACTCCACCCAAAATCCAGACCACTTCTTCCATTCTCCCTCCACAGATACTTGTGTGGGACCTCTTCTCCTTGCCTTGACTTCAACATCTGTGGGAAACGTACTGCTCCTGCATGAGTACAACCACACATCCCTCAAGACCAGGAGGAACAAGCCTGCCAAATCTTTGTCTTTATTTAGGAGGCCTCTATCTCAACACCACCTTATGCTTTATAACTATCAGACATAAGCTCCTTGATACAGACCTTACCTTTTAGCTTAATTTTGTGAATTGCTTAGTACGTGTATCCATGGTATTTGTTACGTAAGTCAATAGCAAGGTGGTATAATGGGGTGGTTACTGGAACGTGTTCTGAGTTAGACGATCAAATTCTGGCTTAAGCACTAACTCACTGAGGGGCTTTGAGCAAATGGCTTCGCTTCCGTGAGCCTACTTTGCTATCTGTAAAATGGGGATAATGACACGCAAGTCCAATCCCCAAGTGCTTACTCCATATGCCAGCCACTCTTCTAAGCACTCATTCAATCTTCACATCAACCCTCCAGAGTAGGTTCTACCACGTCCTTGCCATCGAACTGAGTGAGTGACAGGGCTGGGATTCATCCCCGGTCTGTTAGCCTGCAAAGGTAGCACAATTATTCTTATATAAATCCTGGCTCGATCGATGTAAGGGCTCAGGAAACAGGGCTTCTGTTTTGGTATTATAATTCCTCAGGGCTCCAGCTATGAACCCACTCTCTTATAAAGGAAACCCCCAGGCTTTACTAAGGTCATGAGTAGCTTCCGCAGGGGCCTGAGGGTTACATGATACTCCTAGTGAGGCAAGAACTTCTGAAAGAAAATTAAGCGGCAGTTAGTGGGCTGTTAGAAGAAAAGAAGGCTGCCTGAAGACAGGAAGAGGAAAAGATAAAGTTCTCCACACATTAAAGCTCGTTATGTTCTCTTTGACGGTCTCTGACTCCAGAGACCTCTGCATCAACTCTGGTGAACCTCACTACTCAGAGGGTGGTCTGTGGACCAGAAGCATCACCACCACTGGGAGCTGGTCAGAAATGCAGATTCTCAGGCTCCATCCCAGACTTCCTGAAACAGAATCTGCATTTTATCAACACCCCCAGTGACTCATAGACACATGAGAGTTTGACAAGCACTGACCTAACACTCATTCTAGGCTCTCACCTGCGCTACACCTTTCCACCTGCACAGCCCAGTTCTCCTAAGTTCCTCAAAAGAGGCCTGGGTAGTGAAGAATACATCCTACTAAGTCCCAGGGAGGTTTGTAAATGCTTTATATTCAGACAGAGCAGGTCACCAGATACACCATTTCCAATGGGTTACTAGACCAAGTTTCTTTTCAGCCTCTTATTCCATTTTGTTTTTAAAGAGATCTTCATGCTGAACCAGAAAAGGAGGTTTCATGAAATATCTTTTCTGGGCAGAGCTAAACCTGTTGCCATTGAGTTCATTCTGACTCATAGCGACCCTATAGGAGAGGGTAGGACTGCCCCATAGGGTCTTCAAGGCTGTAACCTTTACGGGAGCAGACTGCCACATCTTTCTCCCTGAGCGGCTGGTGGGTTCAAGCTGCTCACCTTCCAGTTAGCAGGCGAGCACTTAACCACTGCGCCTACCACCAGGGCTCCTTGGCAGAGCTGAGCAACAGTGATATTGGGCCACACACAAAGGTGAAATAAGTCACTCAATTAGAGGAATGAAATCAGGCCTTTAATCCAAAACCATATCAGCACCATCTGTGGAAATGCTAATTATCCTTCTAGCTCCAGTGCCTTCTCTTTCCACGGTCTCCCGTTACCTTGGCAGCGCTTTCCATACCAACAGTACCAAATGGCTGGAGGAAGGAAGTCAGTACCTTTAATGACTAGCTCTAACCACTTCTGTAATCTATTTTATTGCGTTACAAATGATTTCCCTGCATTTATTTGTCTTTTCCACCCTGTCAGGCTCAGCATCGAGTCACCAAGGATGCTTCCAGCCCCAATTAAGATGCTGGCTGTAAAACTGCCTGGCCAAACAATGACTCTCGCTCCTCAGTAAGGTGACTGCCAAATCCGAGGTAAGGTGATGATACCGTTCCCTGCAGATGGAAAGGGAGCAGCAATAAATTGACAATATTTCCCACTCATCTAATGAAGGTTCACGGACATCTGGTGGCTCTAGCAGAGCGCTGAGGCATCAATGCAAGCCACAGCTACCATCAGAGAAATTGCTGTGCAGGTCAGCAAACAGACAGGCAGACTGGTGGCGGACAAGGCACCACAGTGCTATCAGTCATCAAAAAAGCATTTCAACAAGAAGACGACGGTGCTGTCTGTAGACACAATTTTAGCATCCATTCTCACAAAAACCCTTTCTGAGCTGCTTTCAGAGGCCTTTAAGGAACTCATTCCTTTTGCCAAGTCTTTCAATGAGGAAGCTATCAGAGAGCTTTTTTCAAATGGCCCAACCCACGCCTCCATCTCAACCACATTCTCACTGGTGTATCATGGGGACTGGAGCCAGAAGTGTATGTCATCTGAAGGACAAGTTGGTGCACAGTACCAGAAATATACAGGGTAGGACACCCCTCTTAACTATTGCTTTTAGTTTCAAAGTCAGCCCCAAGGACTGTAAAAGCACTGCATTTCCTATGGAACCCTGCTAACATGAGACAGGCCAGGGCCCCAGGACCTTTGAACGTGATTATAAAAGTAAAACGTGGGGGCATGTAGAGGTTATAAAAGTTAAATTTTGGGGCAAGCCAGTTATATTTCCAAGTGATAAACTCACCGATGACTTGCCCTGCAGTACCTGCTAGTGGAAATTTTGCCAAGTTCCCAACCAGCTAATTCAAGCCAATTTCTGCTCTGTATCCTTCTAGAATACATATGGCAATAGAAGAGTCAGCCCATATTGCTTCTCCTTTAAAGTTGCCTACAACCCGCCAAGTGCCCCATGTGGCTTACTAACTCCTAGAAAAGACTGGCTCTCAGTCTAATGCTACCTTACTACCTTCAGAGGAAAAGTTAAGTTTAGCTACACCTGTTGGAATTGTATCAACTCTTTCTGAAACGTTCACAGTAATGCCTCGGGGGAAAGGGATCTAATAGCAGAGATGATACAGCCAAAAGCCTTTGTTCTCGCATCTAGGTCAATGGAAGACAATGTCTTTTGTGTAATTTAGGCACACAGGGGAAAAAAAAAAAAAATGCCCATCCCAAACAGACTCGGGCAATTCAGGAACATCACCACGACACGACTGCAGGTGACCCAGGAATTAAGCATAATCCAAAACATGCTATTACTAGTAAAGGTCTACCAGTTACTAAAAATGTAGAGGGCACTCCACTAGGCACTCATATTTCTAATCACAATCCTGTGAGGTAGGGTATCATTAGCCCCATTTTGTAGAGGGTAAACAGGCTCAGACAGATTAGCGGCTTGACTAACGGCACACAGCCAATACAAGGTGGAGCCGGGAGTCTGATCGGTAATGTCAAAGCCCGCTCTCACTTTGTTCAGCTACCACAAGGTGTTGAGGACCAAGACATCAGACAGAAGGAGAAGTGGAGCGCCCGCCCATAGGGCCCCCCTCAGGCCTGCCAGGACCTGGTTCCTGGTGCTGTCATACCTCCAGTCAGTTCCATCGTAAGCTTTTCATTTTCAATCATCTTTTTCTTTTCTTCTAGCTCAGCAATCAGGTTCTCTTTCAGTTCAATCTTTTTGTCTTCAAATTCTTTCACCGCTGCCTTCTTTTCTTTAATGTAATTTCTTTCCACTTGTTCAGTCTGAGCAAAAGAGAAGCATAGGCTAGGGGTACAAGAAAGGCCCCAAGGGCCAGGCTCCAACTAGAAGCCTGGCTCTTGCATTCAAGGGTGAAGGAAAAGACCTTTGCTGAACACAGGAGAAATACAGTTTCACTCACAAACACATCTGCAGGGACAGGGTGGCTGGGAGCAAGTGTCCAACAAACATATAAAATCGAGCCGCAAGACTTTTGCATATTTCTAAGAGCACACCTCACTCACCACTCAGGTATTCCTTCTTGCCCAGATCTTAGATTTTATGACTTTTATGGTAAAACAGAACTTAAGTTTCTCAAAGATGGTAAAATAGTAAATTCCAATTGAAATGTCTACATTCAAAACTAATTACAAGATACTGAGGCAAGATGGCACGAGTTACCATTATTCTTGGTTTATAACTTTTCTAAATACTTAGAGTAAGATAAAGAGCAAGGAGCCCTGGCAGTTCAATGGTTAAGTGCTTGGCTGCTAACCAAAAAGTTGGCAGTTCAAACCCCTTCCACGATCTGCACGAGAAAAGACCTGGTGATCTGCCCCCTTAAAGATTACAGACAGAAAACCCTATAGGGCAGACCTACTCTGTACTATAGGGTCACTATGAGTCGGAAGTGACTCGATGGCAATGGGAAAATAGACCATTTATTAGGTGCCTGAACCCCGCAGCACTCAAATACTGAAACTATACAAAAATAAAAATTGCATTAAGCATCCACTTTTTAAACTGCACCATTGGAGTAAGTGAAGAACAGGCGGGCTCACGGTGGGCTATGGACGTGGATCATGTGGTCCTCCAGGCTGTGAGCAACTACATGCTATGAACTGAGTTCAGTACTAAGATGGTTTCTAATAACACGGCTCTGATAAACCATGGTCTTCTCAAAAAGTACCCCCCACTCCCACCACACACTAGCTACCCCAGGAGGAGGACACCCTTCCAGGTTTAGGCACCAATCTCTGTATCCCTAGCACTGGGACTGGCACTTAGATGTTTGCTGAATAAAAAGAAAAATTTAAAAAAACAGTCTTTCCTACTGGCCCAGAGAATTTCAACTGTAAAACTGAATTGTTCAGCGACTAGGCTGCCTCTAGGGTCAATATATCAAATGACTAAACCAAAAAAAAAAAAAAAAAAACAAAACACCTGCTGCTGTCAAGTCAATTCCATCCCAGAGTGACCCTAGAGGACTGAGCAGAACTGCCAAATAGGGTTTCCAAGGAGCAGGTGGTAGATTCGAACTGCCGACCTTTTGGTTAGCAGCCATATCACTTAACCCCTGAGCCACCAGGGCTCCATCAAATGACTAGGCCATTGTAATTCAGACATACTCCCAAACGTCTTTAAAAATCAACAAGAAAAAGCAGTGACAGGTTAGTATTCCTTAATCCCCAGGATAAGCAGAGGTTGCCCAACCAACAAATGAAGAGATGTAGTTTCTGAACTGAGACCACATGCCCTCTCATTAAACAGAACAGTGGCGAAGGCTTCCAGTTGGGGGCTTCTAAACTCTCTATTTGGTGCTAGGAGGAAACACCACTGTTTCGGCAGAGCAAGAGTGCGGTCTCAAAAAAAGCCTGCAAATCCAGAAGATCCATGTACTTACCTCCAGCTGGAGGAAGAGTTCTGAAAGAGATAAAACGTGCAATTAGACTCGCTAGGCTATGTCACCTTTCTAGACAGTGATACTAGGATTCATTTAGAAGCAGTAACTGCTTTCTGAAAGTCCGGTTACACAAAGCAAATGTTTTCATCAGGAAAGTGTTGACATACATGAAGGGGAAGGAAGCAAGAAGTGCTCATGTCTAGTTAAAATCCGGCCCTGTAACAGAACCAGCTCTGGCAGTTCGGCCCAAGGGCAAAAACAAACAACAGGAACCAAACTATCCTCGCAGGATGAAAATAAAAACTATCCCTTCTTTCACTCAGTCCATACCCTCCAAAAGTCCCAACAGACCCACCCAGAAAGGGCAGTATGGGTCAGGAAGAAGCGATGCCATTGCTCCTGAAGCAGAGTCGATACCGATGTTGTATAAAGGGCTCTGTGGTGAGGAGGGATGCTCCCCAAGAATCCCGAGCACAGAGGTTTGAGTGCCTTCTGAGGCTTGACTCTCGGGCCGCCAAGCCTCTGCTCGAGCAAGTACCTCACCCAGCACTGTGCTCTCGACTCTCTGATCACATTTCCCAGGTGCAGATTGAATGCAGCCTCCTCCCTAAAGCCTTTCCTGACTATCCATCATTTCTCGACCTTCTCAGACACCTCCGAGTCTCCAGCCAGCAGTATGCAACAGCGTATGAAGCACCTACCGGGTGCCAGGTAATTAGTACTGAAACTGCTGACTTAGCATCTCCCCCACCACTAGGATATAAGCCTCCTTCAAACCTAAAGAGCCCTAGTGATGCAGTGGTTAAGCGCTTGGCTGCTAACCAAAAGGTTGGCGGTTCAAATCCACCAGCTGCTCCATGGGAGAAAGATGTGGCAGTCTGCTTCTGTAAAGATTTCAGCCTTGGAAACCCTACGGGGCGGTACTATTCTGTCTGATAGGGTCACTATGAGTCAGAATCAACTTCACAACAATGCGTTTTTTCTACAAATACAGTACTTAGGACATTAATAGGTCCATGGTTCCTAATTTTTTATGGGTGACAGTAGGGCTACTGCATGAGGTCCACAAAGACTGCCGGGAACTGTACAACTCCAGGGGGCGCTGCTCCCGTTTTACCACAGTCCATTTGCAAACCTGATCAATCCTACAGGCCTATTCCCGAGAAAAATGCAAATACGCACATTCACAAAAAGCATTTCAGAGAATTTCAAGAGTTCCGGGGCCTCCCAGATTAAGAGCTCAGATGCTCGATTAACAACTGATGAATGTGAAGATAAACTGGGGAAAGGGACAAAGTACTCGTTATTTTCTAGCCTCCTGAGGGCCTAGGGTATGATGAGTCTGTCTGACCACTCAACACTGGGACTCGCTGGGCACAAGAGGCCAAGTGCACCCCAACCAACATGCTCTCACCTACGACTGCCTCCAACTCATGCCAGGCACGAACTGGCCAGGCTTCTCAAGTCCTGCAGTCCTGCACATCCCACAAGAATCACACCTGTCCCAACAAGTCAAACCGACAATTAGCACTTAGAGTTGGCGGTGGTTGTTTTAGCTAAAGCACCCAGACACCAGACAAAATCCAAGCAGGTGGATATAGCTCTGTACAGAATGTGCTTTGTAAAGCCCCAGAGCTGACTGATTTAGGAGCTCTTCTGCACTTTTTCCTGGGGGGAAGAAGCATTTATGAATGAACGTGTAAGGACAGGATTGAGAACCTAGGAGATTAAGAGAAACAATTCAGTACCCAGTCGGCAGTTCTATCTTAAGAAAATTGGAAGTTATTGTGTGTTTCTTAAAAAAAGAAAAAAGAAAAATTGGCCCACATCGATTTTCATTCTTTATTTATATCTTAAACCAATTCTGTGAGGTCTTATTCCCATCTAGAGATGGGGAGACTGAAGCTTCAAGAGGTTAAATAACCTACTTAAAGGTATAGGCTCAAAGTGATGGAGGCAGGTCCTTCCATTATGCTGCCATCTCGTTAGCATCTCCCTTTCCCGCTAAGGCAACTCCAGGAAGAGGGCTGAGGGTTTTAAGGATGTCCCAAGGAGGAACCTTAGGAGCTTGGAGTAGAGTGAGGGTAAGAGTAGGGGCAGGCCAGAGATGGATGGACAGAGGGCTAATGGCTGTAGCTCCACTTTCCCCGTGCCCCCACACCCTTCTGCTCCTATATGCTGGTATACACTGGACATCTATTCACTGTCGGGAGAGAAGGAAGGATTCTATCAATACAAAGCAGGAAAGTCAGCAGATCACAGAGTGAGAGGACAGCAGCATGGAGTGGCACCTAGATCACATTTTAAAAGCCATAGTACTTCCAACACTACAGAAATCACTCTGCTGATACTCAAAATGCTAGTTAACGCTACTTAACATTTAACATGTACACAAGATTTCCTGTACACACAGGGATCCATGTAGCACACTTTCAACATTTGTCACGTTACAAGAAATTTCTGCATGATTTTTTTATTTAGCTCATATTGTTCCTTAACGTTACATGTGCCTTTATCTTCTGTCAGTGAAACAGGGAGTTTCTTAAAGGCCAGGACTATGTACTTTATCTTGCCCACCACTTAGATATAGCAGATGTTCAAAAAGTCTTTGTTGAATGAGTACATTTACTGGGCACAACAGACCAAAAGCATGCTCTTTTTCTCCAAATGTTTATAATAAAATACTTGGGGTAACTACAAAGGAGATTCTTCCTCTCATCCTCTCAGAGCACAGAATACCAGAAAAAGCACATTTAAAAAGGGAGTGAAACAATCTACAATCCTTTTCCAGGTCAGCACCTCTGACTGCCCATGAAGTCAGCCATGCAGATGTGAGAGAGAAGGTGCTAGACTACTCTTAGGGCATCGGGAGCATAACCTGACCATCAAGAGCCACCTCCAATGCCCTTGACTACTGGGTCGTTCTTTGGCAAATGGAAAAAAAAGATGGAACCAGTTTTACAGCACTGGAGGTCTCTCTTCCCTGATATCCTCCCCCAATAAGATATTTAGGATCTGTTTTGGAGAATAGCTCTTATGGACATGTTACACTAATGATCAACAAAAGGAGGAAAATTAGAAAATGATTCATTCCCACTTAAGATGTAGCCTTACCTGCATTTCGTATCCTCTCTCTGTACTGCTGATCTAGTTTTTTCATTCTCTTCTGATATTCCTGTAACGAACCTGATTTTGAGCATTTACAAAAGAAAAAGAAAAAGTTACTTTCAAGATCAACCTGCTCTGTATTTTGTTTCCTAAAATTATTTTCCAGCACCAACAGTGACTGTTTCAGTGATATCAGAGGTAAACACAAACCAAGGATAGCCACATCCAAGCAGAAGTAAGGAGACTCTGCTTCTCAACCAAGAATGCACAGAGAAGCCACCTGGTGTCTACTTGAGGTCTACCCCAATCGACTGGATTAAGACTCTCCAGCAAAGGGCAGAGGTAAGGGGGTGCAGGCACCCCAAATGACTTTGACAGTAAGTGTAAGAGCCATTGGCCGAGCAGCCATCTAAGATACGACAATTGGTCTCTACTCGTCAGAAACGAAAGAGAAAGAAAGAAACCAAGGTTCTCATGGAAGAAATTAGTCTACTGAGCTAACAGTCTACATGAGTCACAGCCTCATCTACCCTGAGACCAGCAGAATAACATGGTGCCCGGCTACTACTACTGACCATTCTGATCAGGGCCATAATACGTGGGCCCTGATAGAATGGGAGAAAAATGCAGAACAGAACTCAAATTCTTAAAAAGGCCAGACTTACTGGACCAGTTGAAACTAGAGGACTCCCTGAGACCATCACCCTGAAATACTCTTTAAACCCTGAACCAAAACTACGCCAAGGTCACCATTCAGCGAAATAAAAGACTGGCACACAAAATAAAGGCTATTCTCCATGAGAACAGTGCTCCATTAAAAACTATCTACATGAGACCAAAAGGTCAACAACTACTCTAAAGCAAAGATGAAAAGGTGGCAGGGAAACTGGAGCACTGGAAATGGAACCAGAACACAATTAAAGAGACTGCTGATACACTGTGAAAAATGTAACTAATGTCACTGAACAATTGTGTGGCAGTTATCAAAGAGGAACCTAATTTGCCCTGTAAACTTTCACCAAAAGCATAATAAAATATTATTAAAAAAAAAAAATGCGAAGAACAAAAAAAGGGCCACTGGCCCTACTTAACTTTTAAGGTATACATCGTATATGCACAGGTTTCCCCTGCTATCCAGAAGTAGAGCATACCTATGAAACCTTTTTAAACCAAAATGGCATAAAGCAAAGAAACAATTATGGGAAAATTTTTTGAGTGTTCCTAGACCCAAAAAATACCTTAGAACACATCTTGCTAACTGATGCACAAAATAAACTGAGATAAAGCACAGATGCTCACAGACACGGTTCACAGCTATGAGGGCTTGATGCTGAGTGTGGTTCCCGGGGAAGGAGCTTGGCGACGCCACTCGCACTACTTGGGGTGCGCGCTGCCTCTTTAATGGCTTGCTGCAAAACAAACGCTGAACGCTATTTCTGCTTTTCACCCTTTTCCATAAAAGCGAAAATACTCTTTGGATTTCTTTGGTTGGTGAAAACAGGTACTAACATAGGTTTTTCGTAAAGGCGAAGTGGTGTAAAGTGAACTTTCAAAAAGCAGGGGATACCTTAACCTAAATTTACAACCCCAGTCTAAGAAAACAGGAGCATATCACCATTCTCTGCTACAGCTGGGTCAACAACCTCCCTTTCCTGGTAAAAGCTCACTCTCCCTCAGTAAGGTCTAGGTCATCACTGTCCAGGTGAATGTTCTGCAATGGTAGAAATGTTCTATATATCTACACTGTCCAACATGGTAGCCACTAGTCACACGTGGCTATTGAGCACTTGAAACGTGGCTAGTACCGCTTGAGGAACTGAACTATTAATTTTGTTCAATTTAAATTTAAATAGCCACATGTGGCTGGTGGCTATACTGGTATAGATTCTTACCAAACCTCTACTAATTGCATAGCTCTTACCAAAAGCAGCTTAATCATGAGGGTCCCAATTTGTGAGGGAAATGTTTACTGATCATAAGCTTTAGTAGGTGTTATGGACTGAATTGTGCTCCCCCCAAAAATACGTGTTGGAATCCAACCTCTTCTACCTGTGGACATAATCCCGTTTGAAATAAGGTTTTGTTATGTAAATTAGATCACAGCAGAGTTGGGTAGGTTGAATCTAATCACTTTTAAGTTTACAAAGAGTAGATTAAGCACAGAGGTACGCACACACGAGGGAAGACAGATGTCATGAGAGCCAAGGAAACAAGGAATGCCTAGGACTACCTATAAGGAAGGAATCGACACAACAGAGACCCTGATTTGGGCTTCGAGCCTCCAGAACTGTGAGAATATAAACTCTGTTCTTTAAAGCCACCCACTTGTGGTATTTCTGCTATAGCAGCGCTAGCTAACTGAGACAACAGGACATTAATGGCATTTTTTTCAAAATCCCTCATTCAACCACACCACACAGGCCTTACAGGCTTCCCACAGTGGACTGTTATTTCTTTTATTAAAAATATTTTCATTTTCATTGAAAGAAGGACAAAACAACAACAACAAGAGGTGTGTGACTACAACTCATGGGAACATTTTTCACTATTAAGCGAGATCAACTTAAGATGGACTGGCCCAAGGGAGTTGCGTATCCAAAGCAATAGAAGTACCTAATGGAAAAACAAGGAGTTCTGGTGGCACAGTGGTTAAGCATTCGGCTGCTAACCAAAAGGTCAGCTGTTTGAACCCACCAGCTGCTCCACGGAAAATGTGGCAGTCTGTTTCCATAAAGATTACAGCCTTGGAAACCCTATAGGGGCAGTTCTACTCTGTCCTATAAGGTTGCCATGAGTGAGAATCGACTTGAAGACAATGACTTTTTTGGTTAATGGAGAAACAGTTTCACTGACAAGAGGACCCCACAATATGAAGCCAAAGAGCAGGTGACAGCAGTTTGCCATCCTGGAGCACGCATGATGTGCCTCACTCTGCACCAGACACTCCCCACCCATAACCCCATCTACTCTTGACGTTCATTTCACAGATTAGAAAACAGATTAAGCAAGAGAAAGTTGACAAGCCCATGGTCACGTGAGAAAGTGGTGGAGTTGGTAGTCCAACCCGTCACAGGACTCGATTATTCCCATGCTGAACCACCACTGGGAACAAACACCACTGGATAAGACACGATCCACTCTCAATTTATCAAGCCAAGAAAAAAAAAAAACCAGTGTGGATCATCTACAGTTCATTAATATTCAGTTTAGAAAGAATCACAAAACTTTATTTATTCCTTGGTAACCATCACCTTCCTAAAAATGTCTAGCTTAGCACAGTGGTTTCCAATTCAGGCTCTATCTAGAGAATGCCCCAAGTGAGATTTAATCTGAAGAAAGAATTTGGTTCTTATTTAAAAGAAAAAAAAGATTGAAAAATGACCACTTTACTGACAGTAGAAGACACTAAGTATACTGAAGAGCTGAAAACAGGCAGACCCACCTCTAAGTCACTTCCAGAGACGAATTTCACAGATTCCAAGGGTTTGTAATATTGAGAGATATGCTGAGAAACGAAAGATCAAATCACATACCAACCTTCCTGCAGTTGCTGCAACTGTCTCTTGAGAGAAGCCAGTTTGTCCTGATACATCCTGTAGGAAAAGAACAGCCACACTGAAAAGACAAAAGCATTCAAGACTCGATTCCAAAAACACCCGCACACACGGATTACCTGGGTTGGTCTGGGAGTGTCATGAATGCCCTTTAGGAGAGAAAGAACGACTAAAGTCTGCTAGCTGATTTAAAATGTACTGGTAGCTAAAGAAGGAGCCCTGGTGGTGCAGTGGTTACAAAAGGTCGGCAGATCAAACCCACCAGCTGCTCCGCAGGAGAAAGATGTGGCAGTCTGCTCCCATAAAGATTACAGCCTTGGAAACCCTGTGGGGCAGATCTATTCTATCCTACAGGGTTGCTATGAGTCAGAATCAACGACTTGATAACAATGGGTTTTCGTTTGGTAGCTAAAGTGATCAAAAATGGACAAGGATTCTGTGCTTTTCAATCATCATTCAAGGTTGTAGATTCTTCTTTGTTACCCCACCTTTAGAGAATCAGTCTAAAATCTTCTAATCTGGAGACAAAACAGATTTTGGTAAATAAGTAACAAACAGTTATGCAAGAACATACAAAGAAAAACTGAAACCATGATGCCATTTTCTTCTGGATTCAGAAAAACAGCTAACACACCAAAAATGCAAAAATAGCATAAACACAGGTTTTATATGAAATGGACAATTAGATTACAAATTCAAAAGGAGTAAGGTTATGCTTTCAGCACGTTTTTCTAGAAAACCTGTGTTTTATTGACTAGTAAAGGCATTCGACTGTGTGGATCATAACAAATTATGGATAACATTTAAAAGAATGGGAATTCCGTAACACTTAATTGTGCTCATGAGGAACCTGTACATAGATTAAGAGGCAGTTGTTCCAATGGAACAAGGGGATACCGCATGATTTAAAGAAGCAAAGGTGTGCATCAGGGTTACATCCTTTCACCATAGCTATTCAAACTGTATGCTGAGCAAATAATCTGAGAAGCTGGACTATATGAAGAAGAACAGGGCATCAGGACTGGAGGAAGACTTCTTAACAAACTCCATTATGCAGATGACAAAACCTTGCTTGCTGAAAGTGAAGAGGACTTGAAGCACTTACTGATGAAGATCAAAGACCACAGCCTTCAGTATGGATTACACCTCAACATAAAGAAAACAAAAATCCTCACAACTGGACCAATAAGCAACATCATGATAAATGGAGAAAAGACTGAAGTTGTCAAGGATTTCATTTTACTTGGATCCACGATCAACACCCACGGAAGCAGCAGTAAAGAAATCAAAAGACTCTGCATTCAGCAAATCTGCTGCGAAAGACCTCTTTATAAAGTGTTGAAAAACTTTATAAAGTGCTGGCACAGAATACTGAATATACCATGGACTGCCAGAAGAAAGAACATATCTGTCTTGGAAGAAGTACAACCAGAATGCTCCTTAGATGCAAGGATGGCTAGACTACATCTTAAGTACTTTGGACATGTTATCAAGAGGGATCAGTCCCTGGAGAAAGACATCACGTTTGGTAAAGTAGCGGTCAGTGAAAAAGAGGAAGACCCTCAACAAGACAGACTCACACAGTGGCTGCAACAATGCACTCAAGCATAGCAACGATTGTAAGCATGGCGCAGGACCGGGCAGTGTTTCATTCTGTAGTACACAGGGTCGCTGTCGGTCAGAACCAACTAGACAGCACCTAACAACGACGACAACGTTTTTCCATACAGTTATCATAGCTGTGTAAGTGCTAAGTTAATAAATCTTCATGTCATTTTTAAAGGCACTACACTTTTAGGATCAGGGAAATAACAGTAACTCGGAAAACAAAAATTAAAATGCAGGATTTATTTGCAGCCCCAGCTGGGTAAGAACACACAGCACACAGAAAGCAAAAGAACCTGGCATGATATTTTTTCCCTTGCACCCAATGGATTACAGGTAATTACACAGTCCGGTAAATCTGCCTGAATGAAGACTCCACACGTAAATCACATTTCAGCAATACTTTTGCTTCCACCTGAAACAGTCCCATTTCACAGCAACAAAAATAGGATTTGCCACCTGAACAAAAAACATTGCCTAACATAACAATCACAATAGCCTTTTCATTGCTCAGAAAACGGCTGCAAATACAAGTAAAAGGTTACAACCCAACTCTCTATGAGGTGAAGAGAGAGTGGGCTAGGACAGAGAATTACACAGGAGGGCTGATTCTTTTAGGGAGAATTTTGATGTACTCCTTTTTTTTTTTTTTATTGTACTTCAGGTGAAGGCTTACAGAACAAATAGTTTCTCATGAAACAGTAGTACACATATTATTTTATGACACTGGTTAACAACCC